ATGGAGGCCCTGGGCATCTCGGGCCTCTACCACGATCTCGTACCTGGCCTGCTTCTCTCGGTCCAAGTTTTTGATTGTGGTGAAAATGAGTCCTGCAAAAAGTAGCCCCAAGAGTCATGTTACTGGAGGAACTCTGAGAAAATACAGATGTCTGGGCTGTACATAGAGAACCTATAGGTGATTCCACTGTTCAGCCAGGATGAGAACTACGTGTCTACAGGCTACTGTTTTGTGTCCTACCCCTTGCTCCATTAAAAATGACCAAACAGGATGGTCTAATATTGGTCTAACCAGCTGGAGCATTGTGTTGAGAAATACCATGAGGCCACATGCAGGCTCAATGTGGAAGCGTTCTGTGATGGATTAATGATGTCTGCCTTGGTACAGCATAGGGCAGTGCTGGTGTCTGCTATGTATTTGTTATTACTCTGAAAGACACTGGAGCAGCCCAAACAACTGGCCTTCTTGCTCCCAAGATTCAGTCTTTACTTTTTTTTTTTTTATCTGTGTTAAATCAAACTAGGTTTGACCTGAGAATTCCTCTGTACTTGCATATTTAGGTCCTTATGTAACCGAAATGCAATCTAACTTAGCATGTAAATGAATTGAAACCTAAATGTGCTTCGGTCAATCCCAGGCTGCCAGATGTTCAAATGCTTGAGCTGTAACCAGTCTAGCTTTTTCTGGGCCTCACTTCTGTTTTCTGAATATTACTTTCCTTTCTTTGTCCATAAATGTTATCCAGACCTGGAGTTTCTCCAATCCTATTTTGATTCTGGGATTGCCTGATTTGTGAATTTTTTTCCCCTCAATTTAACTCTGTTAAATTAAATTTGTCTAAAGCTTTTTTCTTTTAAAAATTCATGAAACGCTATGTGGCTCTGCTCTCCCTAGATTTATCTAACTCCAGCTTTGCGGCTATCACAGGTGATGATGAGCAGTCCTATTTTCTGGATGAGGGGAGTAAGACTTCCAGAGATTAGTAGTCTTATCCAAGGTCTCTAGAGAAGGGAAGTAGCTGAGTATGGAACGCAGGTCAGATCTATTTGAAGCTGTCCAAAGGACTGTTAACCAGCACTCTCTGCTGCTTCTTGCTCACTGCTTGGGTACCAAGATCCCGAGGTCCCCTGGGTTTGAGCCCATGTCTTGGGTACCTATTTGCTTCCTGCTCCCATAAACCATCTCTACTTTATCTTTCTGCGGGCTATCAATCAATTCCATGGGACAGTGCTGTTTAGTAGTTGTCGACACACGTCAGGCTGGACTTCCCTCAGTATCTGTACCCAGAACATTCATGTCCCCTACTCCCCCAAGCTGGTGCCTGCCCGGGAGGGTTAATCACACAGACCAGAATTATCGATGGCAAAATACTCTTCCCCCTTCAGGACTTGGTACGTGATGGTGGCATGGTCTGACACCGTGGGGTCATCTGCATCCACTGCTGTCACACGCGTGACCGAGGTTCCTGTGGAGAGAGAATTCGGGGGTTTCTGTCTCATGACAATGGCCCCTCTCTCCATTCCTGGGTGAGGGCAGATGTGATTCTGTTGTTCCTCTGTCCCCATGGGCCGAGAGGGGGGGGGCCTGCTTTGTTTTATGAGGAGCCTGAGGACAAAGGGCTGCAGTGGTGGGACCCACTCAGGCCAACCTGGAGGGGGCCAAGAGCACAGGTGTTTGTGCCTTGAGGGGAGAAATCAGGGTCAGGAGTAGAAGCCCAGGAGAGCCATGGCTGCTTCTCCCTCTCCTGAAAAAAAAGTGAGAACAAGGGACTGGGAATGCACACAAAGGAGTGGTGACACATTTCTCATCCCCTTGAATTTCAGGGACCTCACACTTAACAGGAAGTTCTGTCCCCAGGGCTCTGATTGGGGATCCCGGACTGAGTGGGTAGAGAGGAAAGCTCTTTCCTGGCACCTTCTGGACACTCGGATAGGACTGAGGAAGGAGTAGTGACCTTCTTAGGCTGGTGACACACTTTGGGTCCAGGTCTCTGTCCCCCACCTCCGCTCCTACATAACCCCTAGAGATGATTCTTCTTAGTTTGGTGACAGAGCCTGTCACACACTCTTGGTGTGTCAGTCCTGGGGTTCAGAGGCAGTGGGTAGTATGTGTTCCAAAGAGTAGTGAGACATACGTGTGTCTCTGATGGCCAGGGCTCAGTCTGTGACTGATCAGAACTCAGGCTGGGGCCAGGTCATAGTGTAGCCTTTAAGGATCAATTTTTTTCAAATCATATTAATTGACAATTATAACTCCTGCCCTGAACCCACTTCATCCTGATCATGACAGTGAAATGGCTGATATGACAGGAGCCTCAGCCTGGGGAGGAGGGAGGAAGGAGGGAGAGAGACAGATTGGGCACGTACCCACAGCTGACATCTCAGGCACAGATGCGTTGAACAACCGGTGCGTGAACACAGGCCAGTTGTCATTTACATCATGAACTTTGATAGTGAAGCTGGAAGGAGGTTCCAGGTTTTTGTTGGTTTCCTTGTCTACAATGAGGGCTGTGAGCTGGTATTCGGTGACTTTCTCCCGGTCCAGTCTCTCAAAAGCATACACGTCCCCTGTCTCTGCATCGACTCGGAAGACCTTGCCAGCGGAGTCTCCTTGGAGCACATACTTGGTGTTCTTGCGATTCACGCTAGATTTGATCTAGGAAGGAACAGAATATGAGCTGGGGCGGGGAGCAGTGGTGGTTGGGTATATGTACACATGTGTGTGCATGTACAGAGTGTGTGCACACAGGAGCATGCACACGTAGGCATCTGCATGTGAGTAAGTATGTGTGCAGGTATGTGCTCATGTGCACGCATGTGTGTGTATTCATGTGTGTATGTAGGTGCTGGTCAGAGATCCTAACTGTGACACTGAGGTTTTTAACAAGAACCTCCACTACTGGTTATTCTCAGCCAGGCAGAGCCCAATCACCAAAATGGTGCTGAGGGCACAGCCGGGGCTTAGGAGGTAGCTTTTTGAGTGAAAGAATTTGGTGAATTAGAAGACAAAGAGTACTTTTGCCCCTTAGAAGGCACCTAGCCTCAATGACTTGGGATGACCTCATCTGTAAAATGTGGCTGCTGCTGCTTCTGAGGTTGACTTGCCCTTGTGAGTAGAGCACTCTTTTTGAAAGTGAGTCCCGGGAAACCTCCTCCTTTGCCCATGACTTTTGAGCATCAGCTTAAATGTTCAGAAATATTTGTGAGCCGACTGTTAAACACAGCCATTGTTAAAAAATGAAATCTTATAGACTTACCATTAAATAAATCATATTCAAAATAAAGACCACAAACACTCAGAATTGATCACTTCCTCATTATTTTAGTATGTTCTCGAGATTAGGTGTGTGTGTTGTACGAGCGTGGTGGGAATACTGAGAAAAGACACGTCCACGTAGGCCTTCTCCCAACTCTGTTTTCTGTGGTATCGTGTTGGTAACTAAATCACTTTGCTGAAAGCTTTTACACCACGGAAATTGGCAAATGCTATACAATTGGGTCCATTTCCTCTGAAGAGCCAGTTTCAAATAGTTATCAGCCCTCCACTGATCCCCAGTGAATTCAATTTTGGAATGGCACATAAAAAGTTCTCTTCTTGGGGGTTTTCAATGTCCAGTCCTGGAGAAAAGAACTCCCATGAACTTTGTTAAATTCAGGATTTCCTGCACCCCTTAAACCATTGAGCCATTTTTCTTATAACACATGCTGTTAGTCTACCAAGAATTTGATTGGAGAATAGTGTGGGTCAAGTATCTTGCACAGAACAGAGCTCTCAATAAATGACAGTTATTATTAACGATACATCTGCAAATTAAAGAATATTATTAGAAGTTCAGAAGTGCTGAATATTTCATTTTTAGAATCTTAGAGAAAATCAGGACCACAAGACTAGGTGGTACGTATGCACGTAAAATGGTGCTCTTCTGGGATGTTAGGAAAGTCTAGAAAATAGAATTTAAATTTAAATGTTAAAAAAAAATATAAAATTGGATGGCTACAAGGTGTCAGGCCCTACGTAGGCACATAGGGATAACACAAACCTATGCTGGCTCTCAGGGCTGAGGCTCAAATCCTCAGGGATTGGAACTCCAAGGAAGGACAGCCCTTAAGGGTCAGATGGAGCAAGAGCCTTGGAATGTGTCTGAGGAAGACTCATCAGGAAGAGAGCTTGTGGGGCCTCAGGAGAGAAGAGGGAGATTCAAGAAGGTGTGGTCCAATCCCATGAGGTCTTCAAGGTGTCCCTAGCATTTACCAGCTGTGTAGTCACTGAAGTCCTTGGTGAGAGCAGTGACATCTGGCAGTGGGCTGAGAAGCCAGATGGCAGTGTATAGAGAAGAGTCTGGAAGGTGATGGAGTGCAGATAGGGAGAGAGGACCCTTTCCCTCAGGTGGGCAGTGGGAGGGGGAGGCTGCAGCAGCAGGTGACGGCCACCATCCTGGAGCAGGGCTGGGGTGGGCAGGGGCACGTGGGTCCCTGGGCAGGTTCCTAGGGTCCAGGAGCTAGGACATGGCGAACAGCTGGAGAGGGCAAGAAGCCTCCTCTGAGCTCTGTAACCAAGGTCTTGTGACAGTGGGGACTCAAGGAGAGGGGACCGTCTGGGGCTCTGAGGGAGTTGCTCAGGTTAGGATAAGATGGCAGTCTTCAAACTGGGTCCCTGGTGGATGCCCGAGGACCCAGCAGACAGGAAGGAGGAACAAGTCAGCTGGGGATTAGAAGGATTCGTGAGATTTCGTGTGCATGCAAATTTCTGTTTCCTTCCTCCGAATTTTTCTTAAATAGTTTTCAGTTTTTGAAACAGTTTTTCAGATTTCCAGGAAAAGGGAGAAGCTATTCTCTAGAACTCCAGTTAGCTGCTCCCCTCGGCCCCTGTTCTCAACATCTTAGGTGAATGTGGGACAGTTCATAATAAAGGAACCAATACTGACACACGATTATGAACTAGAGCTAATAATTTATTTAGATCGCCTTGGTTTTTAACCCAATGTCCTTTTTCTGTTTCAGGATCCTGTTGAGGATACTGCGCCACATTTGGTCATGGTGTTTCTCGGAGCTCTTTTTGGCTGTGATGGTTTCTCGGACATTCGTTGTATTTGGTGGACGTTGACGGTTTTGAGGAGTTCCAATCAGGAATGTCACAGGATGGCCTTCTACTGGGATCAGTCTGATGGTTTTCCTATGGTTAGGCTGGGGGAACAGGTTTTGGGGAGACACCGTTTCTGACATCACTGTATTTTGATGGAACATCTCAATAACACAGATCATGCCTACCCAGGTTTGTGGGTGCAGAGACTGCTCAGAGTTCACTCCCATTGTCCACCCAGCTCTGTAAACAAAGGCTTCAGGCTCTGACCTCGATACACAGGGACTTCCTTCCTTGGGATTACGTCCTTGGGAGCTGGGAGCCAGGAGGTGGTCCCTGAAGCCCTGTGCTTCCCTCTCCCAAGCACCTTGGTTTCCTCCCAGCATGGGGACCACACGTGGCTCCTCTGTCCCCAACACTCTGCCCTTTGGTCTCATGCCAGGTGTCCAGTGACTTGATGCAGTCACTCAGATTGGCATCAAGCTCTCAGTCTTGACGCTCTTCCTGTTGTTTGCAGACCTCTGGGCGAGCCCCCAACAGTTGTCCTGGCAAGGGCTGGCATGATGCAGGTGGCCCCCACTTTCCTCTGACTCTCCCTGACTCACTGCACAGATTTTCCTTGGGGCCAGTCCTTCTCCTCAGAAGATGATTCATGGCACAGTTATTCAGCTCGGAAGGATGTAGGTGGGTTGATGACATTTCCCTCTATGACACAGGGTTCACATTGGTGTTGGGAGTCAGGAGCCCCAGGTTCTCTGAGGGCTCTGTGCTGGTCTTATTATGTGAACCTGGGCCTGGGTCTCCCCTCGGATGGGCCATGCTGTACGATTTACTTCTCCCAGTCAGCCCTTCAGGAGAGACAGAAGAGCCATGGGCTCAGCTGGCCGTGGCCGTGGAGAGCCTCCAGTTGTCCCCAGCCCCTTCCTTTGTCTGTGGGAGCATTTCCAGTGTCATGGTCATACTGGGCCTGATCATCCAAAGTCCCTCTTCAGCCTGTTTCTCCATCACCAGTGAGCTTCCATCATTACCATTGGCAGATCAGCTGTTCCTCTAGACTAGGGTGGGTCAACTCTCTCTGTTAAGGGTCAGAAGGTAAATATTTTCGGCTTTGTGGGCCACATGGCCTTTGTCACAACTATTCAACTCTGCTATTGGAGCAGGAAAGCAGCCAACTTGTAAATAAGTGGATGTGATCGTTTTTCAATCAAACTGTGTTTGCAAGTCCAGGCAGGGGGCCAGATTTGACCCACAGGATCCCTGCTCTAGACCACCATCTCCATGAGAGTTGGGCCCCCATCTATCTTTGTCTGTCTTTGTTTTACTGCTCTTTCCATTACTCAGTCCAGTGCTTGGAGCTGTCTGTCCTTTTCCCAGGACATTTGACCTACTATTGTCTCTTGCAGTTGATAGGTAGATTCCAAGAAGTTGGCAAGGTGAGATTTTAATGCACTCAGAAATGTTCTTCCTCACAGAAAACTCTCAAAACACCTAGGCCATCGACTTTTGTGTGAAATCCCATCATGTGTGCCATGACTTTGAATTAGAGTGGATAGTTTTGAGGTCTGTGACAAATGGATATGGTGAGACAATTCAGCAGTCACTCAGGTTGGCATCAAGCTCTCAGAAAATGGGCTTGGGATGGTCACATCTTATAGGAGGACAAAGTAAGGATGAGAGCCATAGGCTCTGCCCTGGAGGTCAGACTTGGGTAGGCACCTTGTGATATGTGTCCTGCTTTGGGGGAGCTGTGTGAATCAAAGGCCTTGACCAGGATTGGCAACTATAGCCTGAATGATTAACCCTGTAACCAGCACCGTTTTGTTGAAGGCTGCTCAGTCTCCTCCTGATCTCTCAGATGGGAACATTTAATAGTGGCCATGGCTGGTTCTACCATAAGCCCAAAGCCCCTAGGCCAGGCTGGGTTCCTTAGCCTGAGCATGGATGGCACTTTTCTTAGTGAAATCTGGTCTGTAAAGCAAGGTCTTAGAAAAAATGAGCCATAACATTCACCACCACCACCATTGTTGATACTGCCACTTCTAGTACTATTCCTCCATTATCACCTACTTCTTCACCATCACCATCATTACCATCACTACCAACATCACCCCCACAACCACTGTCACCTCCACCATCACCAATCCTCACACTGTCATTACTTCCCTTACCTCCCCTTCATTGTCATGGCCACCTCCGTTACTACCCTAATACTTCCATGATCACCACCATTATCACCTTCTCTATTACAATCACTATTATCACCATTGTCACTGCCAATAATACCACCATCACCACCACCACCACCACCACTATACCACCATACTACCTCTTTAATCACCACCCCCAACATCACCCTCAATTTCCCCTTCTCTATTCCCACCAGTGCCTCAGTCATCACTACCGTCTCTACCACTATCACCTTCCTCACTTCCCCTTCACCATCTCTATTATCATCAGCATTACCAACACTATTACCACCAGAACAATCACCAGTACACCTTTACTACCACCATCACCTTCCTGTTTAGTCAGCTTTCCATGTGATGACAAAATACCTGATATAAAAAACTTAGAAGGCAGAAAAGTTTCAGCCCATGGCTGCTTGGCCCTGTTGCTTTGGGAGTGTGGCAAGATAGAGCATCATGGTGGAAGGGTGTGGTGGGGTTCTGGGTCTCTCATGGAATCTGGGAAGCCAAGAGAGAGGAGGGGCCAGAGTACCAATATCCCTTTCGTCACCCTGGGGATTTAAATTCTTTCCACAAGTCCCCATCTCCTAAGATCCAAACCATAACATTCTACCCCCACCCTTAAGGGCTCATGCCCATCTAATAATTCAAAATGAGTCCATTTCCAAGAGTCCCCAAAGTTTCAACAGTTGCATCATGTCTCAAAAAGTTCAAGTCCAAAGTCTCCTCAGAGACTCAAGGCAACCTCTAGCTGTGAGCACCTTTAAAACAAAAAAAACAAACAAGAAAACAAGATACATACTTCCAAGATACAGTGGCACAGGGTAAATAAAAGTTGCTTGGTTACATTGCTTGGCCTGTGACAAATGGTAAGGAGTCAATGATGGATCAAAGCTACTCACTTCATGGCAACTGGGAAGCAAAGAGAGAAGTCCTAATACCCTCCTAACGGGCACCACCCCAATGACATAACTTCCTTTCATTTGTTTCCACCTCCTGAAGTTTCCACCACTCCCAATGGTGCCACAGGCTGAGGACAAAGCCATTAGCATATCACACACTCAAGATTCAAATCATAATTCTCTCTTACCTTCCCCATCACTAGCACCACTACCTTCTCCATTACCACCACCACCACCACCACCATTAGCACTACTATCATCACAACAACAACTTTCACTACCTCCACCATTACCTCCCCCACCTTCCCTTTCACTCTTACCACCATCACCATTATCACCACCACCAGTGCCAGTATTCCTTTCCCCACCTTCCTCTTCACTGTCACTGCCACCATCACCCCTATTACCCCTACCACTAATACTATTACCCCTACTACCATCACCATCACCACCTCCCTCACATTCTCTTTTACTGTTACTACCACCACCACTATTACCATTGGCACCATTATCTCCCTCACTTTTTCTTTCACTGTTACTGCCACCACCACCACCACCATTACCACCATCACAACCACCATCACCACTACAATGACTACCACATTTACCACCATCATCACCACCATTAGCACAACCATTACCAGCATAATTATCACCACCACCACCACCACCACCACTTTTACCACCATCACCACCACAATTACCACCACTATCATCACCACCATTACCACCACCATCACCATTACCACCATCACCACCACCATGACCACCACCACCTTTACCACCATCACCATTACCACCATCACCACCACCACCACCACCTTTACCACCATCACCACCACCATTACCACCAATATCATCACCATTATTACTACCACTGTCACCATTACCACTACCACCACCACCATCTTTACCACCATCACCATCACCATTACCACCACTATAATCACCACCATTACTACCACCATCACCATTACCACCACCACCACCACCACCACCACCACCACCACCTTTACCACCATCATCACCATTACCACCAATATCATCACCACCATTACTACCACCATCACCATTACTACCACCACCACCACCACCACCACCACCATTACCACCACTATTATCACCACCATTACTACCACCATCACCATTACCACCATCACCACCACCTTTAACACCACTATCATCACCACCATTACTACCACCATCACCATTACCACCACCACTTTTACCACCATCACCACCACAATTACCACCACTATCATCACCACCATTACTACCACCATCACCATTACCACCATCACCACCACCACCACCACCACCACCTTTACCACCATCACCATCACCATTACCACCACTATCATCATCACCATTACTACCACTATCACCATTACCACCATCACCACCACCACTACCACCTTTATCACCATCACCATCACCATTACCACCAATATCATCACCACCATTACTACCACCATCACCATTTCCACCACCACCACCACCACCATTACCACCACTATCATCACCACCATTACTACCACCATCACCACCACCATCACCTTTAACACCACTATCATCACCACCATTACTACCACTATCACCATTACCACCACCACCACCATCACCATTATCACCATCATCATTATCACCATCACCACCACCACCACCACCACCTTTACCACCATCACCACCACCACTACTACCACTATCATCACCACCATTACTACCACCATCACCATTACCACCACCACCACCATTACCACCACTGTCATCACCACCATTACTACCACCATCACCATTACCACCAACACCACTACCACCACTATCATCACCACCATTACTACCACCATCACCATTACCACCACCACCATCAGCACAATTACCACCACCACCACCATAACCACCATCACTACCATCATCACCACTACCATTACCACCACCACCATTATGACTTCTGCCACCATTATGACCTCTGTCACTATTATCACCATCACCACCACCATTACCACCATTACCATCACCATTATCACTACCACCATCACCACCACCACCACCAATATCACCACCACCACCATTACCACCACCACCACCATTATCATTACCACCACCACCACTATTACCACCCTCTCCACCATTATCACCACCACCACCATCACTATTACCACCACCATCACTATTACCATCACCACCACCACCACCACCATCACTTCCACCAGCACCATTACCACTACCACCATTATGACCTCTGTTACTATTACCACCACCACCTCCAATACTACCACCATCACCAATACCAACACCACCACCACCATCAGCACAATTACCACCACCACCACTATTACTATTACCACCACCACCACTATTACCACCACCAGCATGATTATCACCACCTCCACAATCACTATTACCACCATCAATACCATTACCACCACCATCACCATTACCACCACCACCACTACCACCACTACAAACATCACCAGCACCATTATCACCACCACCACCATTATCAACACCACCACCATCACCATTACCATTACCATCACCACCACCATTACCACCATCACCATTACCATTACCACTACCAGCACTACCATTACCACTACCATCGCCATTACCACCACCACCACTGCCACCATCACCATTACCACCACCATTATCACTACCACCATTACCACCACCATCATCAGCATAACCATAACCACCACCACCATTACCACCACCATCACCATAACCACCACCACCACCACTACCATCACCATTATCACCACCAGGACCATTACCACTACCACCATTATGACCTTTGTCACCATTATCATCACCACCACCATTACCATTACCTTTACCACCATTACCACCATCATCACCACCATTATCACTACCACCATTACCACCACCATCACCCTTACCACCACCACCATCAGCACAACCATTACCACCACCATTACCACCACCATTATCACTACCACCATTACCATCACCACCATCAGCATAACCATTACCACCACCATCACCACCACCACCATAACCACTACCACCATAATCACCACCACCACCACCATGACCACCACCACCACCATCAGCACCACCATTACAACCACTACCATCACTGTCACTACAACCACCATTACCTCCCTTACTGTCTCCTTTGCTGTCGCTGCCACCATCACCATTACTACCACCACAACCACCATCACCACCACCATAACCATCATCATCACCACCATTTCCACCACTACCATCAGTGCCACCATTATAACAACCCCCTCCCCCACCCCCACCATTACCTCCCTCACCTTCCCCTTCACTGCTCCTGCCACCATCACCACCATTGTCACCAGCATCATTACCATTAACACCACCATTACCACCAGCACCATCACCATCACTACCACCACCTCCACCAGCACCACCATTACTTTCCTCACCTTCCTCTTTGATATAACTACCAGCATCTGTTACCATTTCTCCTTTCTTAGCACCACTGCCACCACACTCCCGAGCACCACAATCACCATTGCCACCACTACTACCACTACCAGTTCTACCACCTCCCCCAGCTCCAATTCTATTGCCATCACCCTCACAACTATTGCCCCCACTCCTACAACTACCCTGGTATCTATTACCATCTCTGCCACCAGGACCATTGCTCTGGGCCAGCTGCAGATGGCTTCTCCTCCCATGGAGCCTGAGCCTTACCTTGCCCACATGGTGGGGCAATGAGGAGTTTTTCTCTTCCTCAATGTGCATCTGGTTCCAAATCCAGGCTCTTTTCTGACGCTGGTGAATAGGCAGAATGCCAGGAGTGTCCGGTTGGGTAGGGTTAGAGCCTGCCACAGCTGCTGTCACCAGCAGGCCTAGGTAGGCACCCAAAGCAGCCACCAGCATCGTGAGCCTCTGCATCCCCTGGGGAGGAGCCAGTCTGGGGAAAGAGGAGAGACACCATCAGGACATGGCCATTATCCTAGGGTCTGAGTAGTTCCCGTAGAGAAATGAGCTCCCTTTATCTGTTCATGCCTTCATCCGTCACTCTGCAGACAGGAATCAGACCCTGTTCCTGACCCAGGGGAGCTGGGAGTCTGGGAGGAGAAGGCAGACACAGAAATGATTCCTAGTGCATGCATGTACATGGGCTAAGATGGAAGCAGATGCGAGGGGTATGGGGAGCCTCAGAGGCTGCTGGAGGTCCTGAAGGAGGGGGAGATGCTGATGTTAATCACAGTTCCACGAGCTCCACCCAGGAGGCATTTGGGCAGTCGCCATTTTACCAATGAGGAAGGTCAGTCATGAGGAGGTGAAGTCCATGTAGGCATCAGCAGCAGGGCTGAGAACAGAGCCAGGCTTCTGACCTCCACCACCAACCTTTATTGAGAACTTGGTATTTGTCTGACTTTGTTCCAGGAGCTGTATGTATGTTAACTCATGTAATCTTCCTAATATCCCTCGAGGTTGGAATAATTGTGATCTTCATCTTACAGATAAGCTCATAATCAGAGAGGTTTAGTAACTTCCTGAGATCACCCAGACTGTAAGGAGGAGAGACAGGACTGGAACTGACTCTATCTGTCTCAAAAGCTCAGACTGTTTTTCCTGTCCCAAAGCTGCTATGGGGTGGGATTTTAAGATTCCTGTGAACAAACATGCCCTCCCGGCCAGTATGCCGTTTGGTAGGTTTGCTCTGCTGCTGTCTCAGAAGGTCCCCAGGAAAACACCAATGTTTGAACTCAGAGGTTGGCACCTCACTCTAGGAGGCACAGGAGGTAGTCTCCTGAGGATCTGTCATAAAAGCAAGGCTTGGCATGTGGGGGCTTGAGAGTCCTGCTTCATGGATTTGTAATTGGCAGACCCCGTGCAAAATAGAAATGTGGGTCCTTCCTTCGAAAGTTACGAAGAATTTTTGAGACAGACGAATACTAAGCTAAGCACTTTGAAATGCAAGCCCTGTGCAGTTTTGTAGGTTGTACACTCTTGAGGGCAACCCCATGGGCCAGGAATATGGTGACCCATGTCACTCAGAGATCAAGGCCTGTCCTCTGCCTGAATTTCAGAAACACACATTTCCTTCATTTCCCCAAAGCAATTGGAGGCCATGCCCTTGGCCGTCAACCTGCCTTCTCAACTCTGACTCTACCTGTCCACCCATTCTGGGTCCCTTGTATCACTGACCTGCAGCTCCTGAGACGGTGGAGGGAAGAAAGTCGGTGAGTGGGAGTGGGGACCAGTGTGCATGCTTGGCAGGACACAAGGACTCACAGGGTATGGGGTGGGGCTGCCTCTTGCTCAGCCTGCCCACGGGAGGCTGGACTCTGTACCTCATAGGAGGCTTCTGAACTCTAGTAACGTTTCCTCTGAGCCACTGGCGCCAGGCTGGCCTCCGCAGGGCCCAGGGAGTCTGTGCTGGGCTAGCTGGTCTCAGGCCTGCTGACCTTAGCATCCAAGGGCCCTGCGTCTGTCCCAGGAGGAAGTGACCTCCCAGGGTCCTGGAGTCAGGGTGGACCCTAGATGCAGGTGCTATGTTTTGGGGGGAGCCCTGCCTCCTCTAGGCTTCAGCTTCTTGGCCACCAATGAGGGGGTCTAGCTGGAGGACGCCTGGTGTCCTTGGAAGTAGGGCAGGAGGAAGGCAGTGGACAAAGGATGGAGGAGGGAGGGGGAGGCTGGAAGTCCTGGCCAGGAAGCTGTCCTGACTCAGGGAGGCAGCAGGCAGATGTCACAGCTGCTGTTGCTCCAGCCCCAGGCCCTGCAGCCCCCCGGCCCTACAGGGCCATTTCCTTCCTCCCAGAAAGAAACAGCAAATCTTGGTTCTTTCTGCCTGTCTCCTGTGAGAAGTGACAAAAATAAAATGCAAAAGCAAAACAAACAAGTGAAATCAGGAAACAGCAGGAGAGAGTTCTCAGGCCTCCGGGCGGGACAGTGTGAGTCTTGTTCAGTGTGGCACGGGGACAGGACTCTGGGTGAGGGGTGGCTGACTGAGGCTGAATCCAGGGAAAACTTCTGGGAGGTTTTGGATTTTTTTGGTGCTAGGGATGGAACTCAGGGCTTCCTGCATGCCAAGCAAGCGCTTTACCACGGGTACTCCCCCGCCCACTCAGAGAGAGATGTGAGCTCACGTCTGAGGGTCAGCTTTAGGGATGGCTGAAGGAGGAAGAGAATATTAGGCAGAAGCACCGACAGATGCAAAGGCCCTGAGGCGAGAAACTGTTAATGCACCTGAGGAACCAAGGAGTACCCAGGGTCAGAGGAAATGAGCAACAGGGGCTGGGAACAGGAGAGGTGGCCAGATCTGTGTAATAGGCTGAATGACTGTCTCACCCCCAAGGGTCCGCGTCTCATTCCCTGGAACCTGGGATGTTACCTTATATGGCAAAAAGGGGGCTTTCGGCAGATGTGGTTAAGTTTTGGGTCTTGAAATGAGAGGTTAACCTGGATGATGTGGGTGGACCCCAATAATCACATCATCCTTGAGCGGGGAGGCAGAGGGCCAGAGTCAGAAAAAAACAGACAAAGTAATGACAGGAGGCTTGACGTGAGCGGAGCCACCAGCCAAGGAAGGCCAGTGGCCCCTGGGGGCTGGAAGAGGCCGGGCAGGGATTCCCTTGGGCCTCCAAGGGGAATGCAGCACTGACTTCAGCCCCCCCGAGCCCCATTTCAACCTTCTGAGCCGCAGAATGGCGAGTTAACCCATCAATGAGCTTGTGTTGCTTTAGACCCCAGATTTGTGGCAGGTTGTCCCTGCAGCCTTGAGGGGGGATCTGTGCCCACTCCTGGGCCTCAGCTTCTAGTCACTTGCTGGGGGGACAAGCAGGCTCTTCTGCTTTCCCTTCCATCCCTGGCAGATCCCACCTGCCCCACCAGCCTCAGCTCTGCGTCATGAGGGCTGCTTTGGGCTCGAATCCCTGGCCTCTGGTTGTTTGGTCAGGAGCTGCTCCCGCAGACCCTCCAAGGACCAGAGGAGAGCTGTGGACAATGTCTTCCCTGCTCCTCTCCGCTCTGGCTCCTGTTTTCAGCTGTGGTCACATCGCTCCATGATGCCGGCTGCTGGTGGGCGGCCCCTGGGTCCTCCGTCCCTCCCTAGGTTCTGGAAACGTCCTCCCTCTGTCCCTCTGGTCCTGAGACACTAAGAGCTTCCCCTGTCCCTGGCCTCTGGGTGCCTCCACATCCCACTTGGCCCTGTACCCAGTTCCCGCTGTCCTTTCACAAAGTCTCTATGTGGGACCCCAGGTTTCCTGACGGGGCTCAGACAGAGGACGGGTCATGGTTTTCTTTATTTATCACCCAAATTAATAGGTGACTACACGAGACCTCAATAAAGCCACGTCCACTGGCCCCGGGCTCTGGCCACATGGTTCACGTGGGGCATTAACTCCTCGGTGGGCCAAGGAGTTAAAGTTCTTGTGGGGTGTAGAGAAGCCCTCTGCATTCTGTTCAGTGTCCATCAAAGGCCCATGGTCCACACGGGTCAACTTCAAGCTCCTCCCAGTCAACTGTATCTGTATGTCCCTTGTCAAGGGAGGGGGAGGACCCTGGCCATGAGGGCTTTTAGGAGATGGGGTCGTGTAATTATCCCCACGTGACACGGAAGACTTGGGCACTCTGAAACAGTGTTTTCTTGACTGACATTCCTGAGCACCTCCCCCGAGGCACATTATCTCACTCGCATCTTGCAATAATCTTTGATGTAGTTGTCAACCATCCAATTGTGCAGGAAGAAGGAGGCTCAGAAAGGTGGAGTGAGCCAACCCAGGTCACACAGGAGCAAGAGATGGAGCCAGAATTTGAACCTGCCCTCAATGGTGCATCCTTCCCTCCCTCCCTCCCTCCCTCCCTCTCTCTCTCTCTCTGTCTCTCTCTCTCTCTCTCTCTCTCTCTCTCTCTGCAGTGACACTCACATGTAATATTAATAAACCATTTCCAGTGCTTGGCTTTCAGAGGCACCACCTCATTTAGTTTTTGCAGTATCCCCAACCTCCTGAAGTGGTAGGAATTGTCATTCCCATTTCACAAATTAAGAGCCCAAGGCTCAGAGACAGACAGCTTATCAGTGGTAGACCTGGCCCCGTCTGCCCAATCTGTCTTTTTCTAAACCCTGGGTTCCTTCTACACCCAATCTCAGAGGAATCCGAGGGAACTCATCGTTTGAAAAACCACACTCCACTTCTTTGTGATTTTTGCTTTTGTGTTAAAAATCTGGCCACCAAAACAGGGCCAAGGGGAAGGGTTTTGTAGACAATCACTCATTCCTCCTCCTGCCCATGGAGAGGAAGGCAGGGGGTCAGATTGGCCGTGGCCACAGCCGGAAACAGAGTGTTCCTGGGCTGCAGTTTGGAGGCGTGGCCAGCGGACAGTTGGGGTCAGGCTTATTTTAGGCTTTTTGCTTTTAGCAAGCCGAGTCACGCCTCTTCTACTGTTCTCACCACTTTTTTGGAGAGATTTTGGGTGTCTTGGGGCAGATTTGGGGACTGTGGACGTCCAGAGCGCCTGAGGACCTTGGGCATGGTTTTGGGGCTGAGCAGTTCCTGGCTGAGCGGTCTGGGAACCTGCCTGAGCTCAGGATGGGTGGAGAGGGGGTCTTCTGGCAACTCAGCTGTGGGTTCTGGACACCCAGAGGCCAGGGCCCTGCCCATGGCCCTGTCATCCAGAATCTGTGCTCATGTCATCTCTGAAGCCATGTTAGTTTTGTAAGCCATTCCAAATGGATGAAGGGGACCCCTTTGTGGCACATACTAGGATGGAGGGACTTAGGAAGCTGTGACAGGGAATGGGAGAGGGCCCAGTGGGTGAAGCCTAGTCCCTGGAGGGAGCCCTGCCTCTGTCACTCATCCCCATGAGGCTCAGGCAAAGTCCCCTTTGGTCCTTCTCTTGGTGCCAATCCATCTCAGGGCTTGGGCTTGCAGTGGGCTCAGCTCCATGTTCTCTAAATCATACGCCGGAAGGAGGGGAGGGGACATGGCTGAAGAGGGGAACTGTCGGGTAGGGAGGGGCTGAGCCTTCTCTTGGGATTCCCCGGGCCCTCTGCCCTTGTGGTTAAGTAGATGGTAGGAAATTTGGACCCACTTGGGAGCCCTTGGGTGGGACACTGAACAAAGGCCTAGGCTGGTTCTGCTTCTGACCACAGGGCAGAGCCCTACCCCTCCATCTGATGAGAGCCCCACTCAAGTTTTAGATTTCAGGGGCCAAGTCTGGGCTTTGGGGTGATGTTGAACAGGCCTCTGGGGCTGTGTGGAGGAAGGCTCCAGGTCAGATGCACACGCAGCATCCTCAGGTCACACAGACCCCCAGCCCTCACAGACGCCTGCATGAGGACACAGCCCTGGGCACAGACTGCCCACGCTGTCGGAGACCCTCTGCTCCTTCCCCGCACACAGCCTTCAGCCAGGATGGGATCTAGCAGCCGAGCCCGGCTCCAGGGACAACCTCTGGAGATGGACGGAATGCTAGTCCCAGCCCAGCCTCCCACCGGCTCTGGACTCCAGCCCAGAGGCCCTGGGTCAGGGATGAGGGTCAGGGTTGTGGGAGGGGATGGCCCAAAACACACAGGGGGTGTGCTTGCAGGCAGGGTGGCTGGAGCCTGAGCTCCGTGGGTGGCCTTGGAGGCTCTCTATCACCCGCTTGTCCCACTCCGCGAGCCTCCGTCTAGGGCAGAGTGGGACCCACTGATCCCCAAACTTCCCCAGAGACCCCCACACTATCTGCTCAAATCCCAGCACTTACAGCTGGGCCTTGGCAGCTGCCCACATTAGGAGGACAGAGGCCAAGGCCCTGGGAGCCTTGGGGACAGGGTGAGGCCCCGCAGCTATGAGCCGGCTTCTGGCGCTTTCCTTTATTTGTGGCTCAGCTCAATCCGGAGTCCTCCTCCTGGGGGCCCCAGACTGCTCCTCTCCTAGCAGAGTTCTGCCAACAGCCTCCCTGTCTACACTGTACCCCTGCAGGTTGAAGTCCAGCCCCTGAGCCAGTCTTCAAGGACCAGCTCAGTGCGTCGCCTGCCCACCCTCCAGCTCTCCTCTCTTCCGCCCTTCTGCCCCTACCAGCCATGAGGAGAATGAGAAGTCTCTGGAATGCACGATGCTCTTCCGGTCACCGGCAGGGTTTTCACACAGGGGCCTGGAGTGCCCTTCGTCCTCTGGGTGATGCTTTAATACTTTCCAAGCCCAGTCTCCCCTCTCCTTGGTCTTCCAGTGGCCACCAGGATGGTCTAGGCCTTCTGGACCAAGTGTCTCTGCCCAAACAATTTCTGGGTCTAGGTCCCCACTTCATTCTAGCATCCAAGTGCAAGGACTCAAGGGCCCAGACCTGGGGGTGTCAAAGTCCCCCTCCATGGCTGTCAGTCTGGCTCAGTCTCCAGTTCTGGTCTTGCTACTGATTCCTTTGCTGCTCCCAGGATTTAGAAACCAATCTGCATGTTTGCAGACAACAGGTAGGGTGGGCAGAGCGGTGGCAATCATCAGCATAACTCAGAGAAACTTATCCCTACCCCCAATGGCCCATCTCATTGTCAAATACACCACTGTAGGTTTTTGGGGAGCAATGAAATTATCCTTGCTAAGGGTCCTGATGATACGTACACACCCCTGAGTGGGGGACCTCTTTAGGTAGGACTGGCAAGACAGAATTCAGAGGTGGCCTCTCACCCCTGCCCTCAGCCATGGCAGACATCACCAATCAATCAAAATATTCATAACCGCCAAACTTGAACTCAGTCCCTGAATCCTCAGTGCAATCTATGAGGGAGGGATTACCAAAGGACCAGAACTAATTTATGATTTGAAACAAATTGGCAGGCTGGCCCATGGGTTTCTGGGCTCCGGGTCATCCATGCTATCTTCCTGTCCTAAGGAGACAAGAAGGAGCTTCATGCATCTGCCTGTCGGAACCTGCCTGACTGCTCACGAGCTGTGCGACCTTGGGCCCATCCCTTGCTCTCTCTGAGCCTCAGCTTCTTCATCTGCAATAGAGGCAACAGTAGCGGCCTCCCTGGTTGGGAGAACTAAGTGAGGTCACAGGTGTAAGCCCAGCACACAGTAGATACTCAATAGGTGATGTGTCTTGACCGCCATCTGCTTTGGTCTGGCAGCTGTGGCTTGGACTGCCGGCTAGCCCCGACCTCATTTCCTGGTTCTGCTCTGGGCCGACCTCCTGCTCCCCTCGGTCCTCTCCAGAAGGAAATCACATTCAGCAGGGCCAGCCAGCGGGTCTGTGTACCCGCCGGGGTCTGATAAGCAGGAGGGGCCTGTGTAAGTTTCAGGACTAGCTCTGCCCTGGAGAGGTGGAGAGACTGAGGCAAAGGCAAGGCGATATCCGAGGCCTCCCTGGCATCTTGGGCTCCTGCTTTTCCTCCAAGAACCTTCTGTTGACTTCTCCACCCAACACCCCAGGTTTCTCCGCATCTCTCCCGGCAGGAGCAAGTTCCTGCACGCAGAGCCCATCTCCTAGAGCATTCTTTCCCCAGGGTCACTGTTCTCCTGGCTGGTTCTTGGGCCTGCTTCTTCCTCTCTGAGCTTCACTATGGACTGTAATCGGTATGGGGCCCAAAGGACTGTCCTCATCAATGTTCTGCTTTTACTCTGTACTAGCTGTGTGACCTTGGGTTGATCTCATGATCTCTCTGGGCCTCAGTGATCCCATATATCAAATGGAAATTCACGTAGCCTCACGTGAGAAGGGGGGCTGCGGAGGGGTGGTGGAGGTAACAGGCATGGGTCCATGTGAGGACAGGGCCTGAGATTTTTCCTAGAATGGTGGCCACAGTGTCCACTGCTTGTCCCTAAGGCAGCAGTGGAAGTGTGAGTCATCTAACTTTGGAAGAAAATAAGTGTAGCCCCTTCTGGCTTCCTGCCCCATGTCCGGCCCTTGTTTAGCTTCACAATGGTTGGGTCTGAGGCTGTAGGGTGGCAGCTTAACCCTTTTGGGGCTGGCAGACACCTCCCCTAACTTTCGGCACTGTGATCTAGAGCTGGTAGGGCTGCTTGGGGTGGCTCCTGGGCTCCTGGTGGGGGGGTACCCTCTGACCTTCAGCCTGGGGCCCACAGATGGCTAGACTCGGCCAGATAGGGGAGGAGCCTGTGGCTGCCCCCACTGGGGATGAGCCAGGGCTTCTGGGCCTCAGGCCACTGGTCCTCTTGCTGCTTGGCCTCTACTCCCTGCTCCCCAGGCCCTCTGAGCTGCCCGGCCGTCCCTCCTCCTGGGATGCCTTTCATCTCCTGTCAATCCCGTCTGCCCACCACCCAGGGCCAGGGGGCATGGAGTAGGTGCCCAGAGGTGCCACCTCTCCTCCTTCCCCGCCGGGGGCTGACCCCTTGCAGCCGGAGATAGAGTGGGATGGGGGGCTTGGTGCAATGCCTTGGAGTCACAACATTATGCTTTCATAGCCACCGACGGCTGGAGGGTGGCGGGTAAGTTCAGCGCACGGAAGTCCTCCCAGATCCCCTACTATGAGCCATTTCCAAGGCCAAATGTGAGCATCTCAAAAGTAAATGACCAAGAAAAAGACGGTTTCCTCCATTTACACCTGAGAATCCCGAGGCGCAGGGGAGCCACAGGTGCTGGGGGGAGCCTGGGCTCTGCAGGCCAAGATCTCGGCTCAGATCTCACCCCCGCCCCCACCCCAGCTCTCCAGATCTCCTGGGCTTCACCAGATGTGAGGAAAGAATCTGGCCCCTGGGACCGCTCCTGGGCAAATAGAGAATCCAATTGCTCAAGAGCTTTCCAGGCGCATCATTTCTAGTTCCTAAAATAAATGGCAGAGACCCACTAGCCCCACCGCCCAGACAAGCAGACTGAGGTTTGGAGACTGGGTAAGGTCTCCAAGGTAACCCAGGAGCG